ATTTAGTACTCTTCGGGTATAGTTTAAAGTCGTTACGATCTTTAATTATTAATACTATATACGAACTTTTTAGAGCTTTTTACCGTTTTAATAAAAACTATATATTATATTTATTTTCGTTTTTTAAGAGTTATTAAACATCCGTTTAAACCCTTTTTTTTTTTAAGTTGTTTAATAATTAGATTTTCTTAGAGGACTTAGTTAGTAATCTAATTTATCCGTAGGTTATGTTTTTATAACTACGAGATTCTTAGGATAATATTAATATTTCCGATTTCTATAATATCGTACTATAGTTATTTTTACTAATTATTAATATACGTCGAGAGGTATATAGTCTCCCGATTAATATATCCGTAATTATAATTAACTCGTTCTCCTTTTACTATTTATAGTTAATATAAGTTATTTTTCTATATTTATAATAAGTTAAGTTTATTTACTATTTTTAATAAGATATAGGTTTTTTATACGCCGCTATTAATAATAACGTTTAGTCCTCGTTTATAGATATTAAGGTTAATTTATAAGTATACGTCGTTACGTTATTTAGTTATATATAAGAACTTTTTTTTTATTCTTACCTCTCGTTATTTTTTTATAATTAGCTTTTTTAATTTTTTAATATACGCTTTTTTTATTAAGTACTTTATTTATATAGTTCTTATTATTCTCTCTATACCTTAGCTTTTTTAATATAGTAGACTTAATATTAATTATATTTATAATTTTCCTATTTTATATACTCGCTATTAAGGTATTTTATAAAGAAGCTAGGGTCTGGACTAAATATTACCTTATTATTATTATCGAAACTTAGTAATATCTAGCTAGGTAGTTAGTTTTTTATATAAATATCCTTAATAAGTTTATTATTACGTTTTTATAAGTAGAAACGGCTATTTTGTTTATATACGAGGTACTAAAGGTATTTATTATTTAGGTATTTTATTTAAAATAATTTTTTATAAAAGGGGTCCGTAGGATCGAGTAGAAAATAGTTTTTATTTATATAGGGGGTTATCGTAACCTTTTTACGTTTTTTAGTCCTATAGAACTAAATAATTTAGTAATTTTTAAATAAATAAATATATTTATACTATAGTTTTTTATTATTTTTTTTAGAACTAGTGTTATTAACGCTAGGTAGTACTTTATAATTAATCTCTATCTAAATACGTTATTAAGCGACGTTATAAAGTTCGTCCGAATTATAGGGTAATTCTATTTTATTAAAATAAAAGGAGCTAGGTCCTATTTTAATATCTTTTTTTTTAAAGTTAAAGTTAATTTTTCTTTTTTTTATAACTCTAAAGTTAAGAGTCGGTTTTTTAATTATTTTAATCTTATTTTTATATAAGAGGTTTTTGAGCTACTCTTTAATTTTATAAATAAATTTTTTATTACCGTTTATTTTTTATATTATATAAATAGACTTAGTTAGGATTTTATTTAAATCGAGTCCTTTTTTAGACTTAGTAAATTATTTTTAGTTTATATAGTTTCGTCGTACTATATAAACGAGGCTATTTATAATTTTTTTAGTATCGGGTTCTTTTTTTTTAAATTTAAGGAGTTACTCTTTTATATTAGCTAGGAATTTTTATTTAATTCGGCTTTTAAAAAAGTAAAGTATATTTTTTATAATAGGGTCTATTCTAGCTTTTTTTTTTATATTTTTATAAATCTAAGAGAGCGTAGTAATATACTTAATATTATTTTTTTTAAAAGTATAGGGTCGGTAGGTGGGTATCTTTTTTTTTTTTATTATTATTATTAGGGTTTTAATAAGGGGTAGTATAGTATTATAACCGGATCGTTTTTTAATTTTAAGTTATTTTAAGTACTATCCTATTTATTCTTTATTATTTTAGTAAGTAAAATAGTTATTATTATAGTAGGCTATTTATAAAAGTTACTTATAGGGGACTTTTTTATTTATAATATTAGCTCGTTTTTTTAAAATAGGTTAGTATTAGATACGCTTAGGTTATTAATAGTCTCTAGCTATATATCCTAGTTTATTATAATTATAGTATTTAAAATCCTTTTTTTACTATAATTTTTCTTATTTAGTAATACTAAGGTCTATAGGTCCTCTGTATTATTTATAAAACGTACTTTATTATTATTAATTTCTTAGGTTATTTTAGTAATTACTTAGTAATTTACCGTAGTTTTAGTATTTTTAACTAGAGTTAGCTTAAGGGTATTATACTTCTCCTTTTTTTTTACGTCGTTTATATAATTAAGTATTAATCTTAATAACGAGCTTAATATACTATAAAAATTCTATTAGTATTTCTATTTTATTAAGTTCGTTTTTAATTTTATTTTTTAGTCCTTAGTAAAATAAAAAGATACGGGTTTTTTTAGTAAAATCGAGTCGTACTACGAGTTTTTTAAACTTAGTAGCGTAGTACGAGGTAGACTTAGTTTATTAAAAGTTAGCTAAGTCTCTCTCGGCTTATTACTTTTTATTAAGGTCCTAAAATAAGGATTCGAGGGTACTTTAAAATCTTATTATATTATTAAAAATATTTACGGTTTTTTTCTTATAGTATAATAAATAACTATTATTATTAAGGAATTCTTTTTAAAAGGGTTCGAACTATTCTAGGGCTCGTCTTTTAAAGAAGGTTACTATATAAATAACTCATTTAGTTTTATTATAGAAATTAGTAGCGTAGAATATTTAGTAAGTTCTAATTTAAATTAGGAATTTTTTAAAACGTTTAGTAGTTCTATTAAAAGTAATAGGTATATTAAATTTAAGTTTTTTTTATCTATCTATAAGAGTCTTAATAATATTAATAGTAGCTCGGAGGGTTCTAACTTTTTATTCTAAGTCGTTTACTTTTTTTTTTTTAATTCTTAAGTTAGTTATAGCTTCGTTAACTATATTTTAAAAAGCGGCAATATTTTTATTATTTTTAGCTAGGGTTATAGTTATCTAAGTAGAGTTATTATTAAAGAGTTTTATAAGTTCCTTATTCTACTTATTATTTTTTTTAATAATATACTATATTTTTTTATAATTTACTTTTTTAAAAACTACGTCGCTATCGGAGTCGTAAGTAATATTAAGTATTTTGTTATTTTTAACCCTAGTTAGCTCGCTAGCTAAGTTAACGGGTTACTTAGAGTTAAATAAAGGGGTACTTAGGGTCTTAAAAGATATCGTCGTTCGTTTTACTACTTAGTAAGTTTTATAAAGTTAACTTACTAAATAAGAATAATTAAAGTATTATGGCTAGCTAATCGTAATAAGTATATTAATAAAAATTAAGGCTACGAATACTAAATAAGTAGTATCGTAATTATAAATAACTTCCCTAAAGTTATATTTATAAATCGTAAAATAAGTAAGGTTTTAGTAATTAATCGTAGTCTTATTAAAAGAGGTTCTTAGTAAAAATAACTAAAAGTAATTATAAAATCTAATACTAAATTAATTACTAAAAAAGCTATAGGAAGTTTATTCTTAAGCTTAGCTTAAATCTATATTATATATAAGTCTCGTTCTTAAATATGTCCTTTATAGTATTTTTATTTATTATTATCTAATTATTTACCGAACGGTCGTCCGTCCTATTTATTTACGATTATTTATTTTACTTATTTACGGGCGTCTATTCCTTATTTTATTATATAATCGTAGTTACGTAACTTATTTATAGTTTTTTTATTCCGAGAGGAGTTACTTTAAGTCCGTACTTTTATATATATAGTATAGTAGCCGCTATAGGTCCTATAGGGCGAGGCCCTAGCCTTATTATACGTATTAGGTCATAATAGTATTAAGCTAAGGTTTTTAAGTTAGTTTAGTTTTATAACTATTTTTAATTTAAAATAAAGCGTCTTTTTAAACTATAATTTCTTATTATACTCTAAGTAATAAATCTTTTTTTTCATAACTTAAGTCCTAAGTTCCCTTATTTTTAATAATTTAAAATAAATTTATAATATCTTTTTTAATTAAATTAATAATTTTATAAAAGCTAGTAAATTTAATATTATAAAACGGAATAAGTATAAAAGTTAAGGCCGAATTATTTAATATACTTTTTAATATAATCGGTTTAGCGAGCCTAAGTCTATATAAAGTATTAGTATTTTAAAACGTTAGTTTTATAAATTTGTAAGCTTTAGAGGCAAAGACCTCAGTAGCTAGTATACCTACCTTAAGCCCCACGCCGAGAATAAGAACAATAAGAGATATTTCGGGCATCTTTAGAAATATAAGAAAGAAGTCTAATAGTATGTAAAAGAGTAATAAATTAACATAACTAGAGGCTTGTGTTTTTATTTATATACTCATCTTCTTATCGTAATAAGGATCGGGACGGGTGATTGAAATACGCAATTAGTAATCGTTTAAGCTATTCAAGGCGGCGTGGCTTCCGCTGATAGAGTTTATAAGCATATAGCATTCCTGTCGTAGCGTTATTTATCCTGGTGCCATGTAGGTGTTGTGTACTTACCGAGAGTCAATTACTAGGCCTAACCGGGATGCAAGGCAGTCGTAGGTCAGAACCAGTCAGGAATCCATTGTGTAATCACGGACCCGGAGGCTTCGCAGGGTCCGAACTTGCATGCATTATGTCAAATTCCGCTCGTCACCAATGGGAGTCCTGTCTTCGAATCCTCCGCTCCTGGCTTACTTTCTCGACCATTGCTTATGTAAGCTTGGATACTTGCTATCCGCTGGCTCCTTGAGTGCATTGGGTTGAGGTAGACCTCCCGTGTAAGATTGTCAACATTTGCCGGCTTGCAAGCCGGCACATGATGACTATTGTATAATGTCAAGAGAAATAGGATTTGTTTTCATTATTCCAGTTTGGACTGTCGGGGAGGAGATGGTGATGGATATAAAATGAGACAAGAAGTCCGCTCATCTTGCGCCTTTTCATCCATCAACCACTACCTAAAGGGATTCAGAACTTTCCTCCTACAATCAGTCATTTATTACCCGATACACCTCAACAAAGATAGCGAACATGAAGAAAATCAAAGTCTTGGGAGTCCATGGGCCTAACGCTGGCAAGGTCATTCTCCTTTGCGAGGAGCTCGGACTCCCATACGAGACGGAAATCATCCCCCTCAACGACGTCAAGAACCCCAAGTACGTTGCCATTAACCCGAATGGCCGGCTGCCGTCCATCCAGGATCCCAACACAGACCTCACACTGTGGGAGTCGGGCGCAATCATCGAGTACTTGACGGACAAGTACGACAAAGCTCACAAGCTCAGCTTCGAGCCGGGCACAGCTGCGGCCTACTACGCTCGTCAGTGGCTTTTCTATCAGACAACTGGCCAGGGACCGTACTACGGGCAGGCGATGTGGTTTCTCATCTATCAGCCACTTCCCGAGGCGCGCGAGCGCTATGTCAAGGAGGTCAATCGCGTGACCTCTGTTCTGGAGGGACACCTGGCAAAGCAGACCCCGGACGCGGACGGGAATTATTGGTTCTTGGACGGGCGGATCTCGTACGTGGATATCGCCTTTTTCACATGGCAGCACACAGCCTCGCCGCGAATTCCGGATGCCGAGTTCAATCAGGATGACTATCCGCACGTCAAGAAGTGGTACGACAACATGCTTGCGCGCCCGAGTGTGCAGAAGGTTCTGAAGCTTCAAGAGACCAATCAGGTTGCAGTGAGTCATTGTTAGAAGCGGAATTGTTTGTCTTGCAAGGGCTAGTCACTGCTGCGAGGGTATATAGAGATGAATAGGGGCTGTTGTTCGCATCGGGGATAATTGAAATCATCTACATAAACTTCGTTTGCCTTCCCCTTATCTTTCGCGTTCAGCATGAGTGTATTTTGAGGATTGATAGTGTGAAGTTGGTCACTTCTATATCTATAGAGTTGTAAAGTATTGTCGTGAATGAGTGAGTCCTGTATCGTATATGTCGCCCTTATTATTTCACCTTGCTCTGATCCTTTGCGGGCACAGACCGATAGCCAGTACTGTTTCCTGGTTCGTGATAATTATTTGGGTCGCGAGAAGCAAGTTTAGCCATCCCGAGCATCCCGCTGGACCGGCACTGGGTTTACAGCATCCACACTACCTTAATATCGAGTCAAAATCCCAATGTGGTCTTGTTTGCAAACAATCACGCTGGAATGATTATGCAAAGGATGCTGTATACTCCGGACGGAAAAGACGAACAGCCTTGTTTGCCTCGTCGTGCAAGCTGGTGCAAGCATTATGCATTCGTCTGAGTTCTTCGGATTGTGCGTATGTTCCTGGATTCTTGGCGAGTGTATCTAGCAGATCTAGAAAAGGCTCAAGGAGATGGAGGTCTGAGAGTGCGCTCGGCGATGTCGGGTTGTGCGCCAGATTGTAGAGCATACTGCTGGCTGCAGCGAAGAAAGAGTGTAGAAGCATCCTATAATAGGTCAGAGAAACAATGCATAACGGATGTGGATACCAAGAGGTCATTTACCAGATGCAGGAGCAGTCTCCGTGAGGGATGGCTTCAATGAGACGGATCGCTTGGCGTGACTCAGCGAGGCACAGACTGCTCGGGAGTAATGATGTTCCAGACCAACTGATTTCTTGATCGGGGGGAGATCTCGTCGTCGGGGATAAGTGGCGGTCAATCATTGTCAGACAATGTATATATGTGAGTCGCAAAACCACCTTATGGATCATCTCCCCTGCGATTTGGGTTTCTGACGAGATCAGGGAGTTCTCAAGGGGTTCCAGCTGCGCACTGGACTTCCAATAGGACAACACAGAACTTAAATCTTGTGCTGCAATTGCCCTTTGTGCCTCCGATTCTCGTCCGGCTCGGATTGAGTACAGTTGTTTATACACCTGACCCTGAATAATCGCAAGTCCTATGCGGTGGTTGAAGAGCTCCACGTTACATGTCTCAAGCTTGATATTTGAGGGCAGTCGGACATCCATGTCATCATCATCTTGGCTGAAGGGTCGACAGGTCCGTAGACTGATGTCTTTGTCAAGAACGTATACTTTCCAAAACACTCGTCTCCGTATTTCGGCTTGTTTTTCCGTGAGGGTTGGGTCGGAAGCCTCTCTGTGCAGATTCATAGCCTGTGCCAGTCGAAGGGCGGCGGCCACGAGCATCGACGCCAGCTCCGGATTCGGGGTCCCCTGGAGAATACAAGCCATACCCACTAGAGCTTGGACAGCAGAGATACTAGCGACGTTCAATTCGGAGACGACGCCTAGGGCATTTTTCGTGTAAACATCAGCTAGATTGTTCTCATGCGTTGGGTCTAGTGTGCGCAGGCCACGGAGGCGATGAGCTATCGACAACACTACATTGAGACACGCCCACCAACTGGCATCTTCGGGGTTAGAGGTCGAGTACTTGAGGTGGAACTCTCTCAAGAAGTCCTCTTCGTTGAAAAGCGGAAGAAACCTGTTATAGTTGTTGAAGGTCTCCTTGACCAGCTCCAAGGCGACTGCCTTTATGGGAAGCTGCCCGCGCCCTTGTAGGGAGACTGGTCGCGACCCTGAGGAAAGATAAGGCCATGGGCTGCCAGCTATAGGGTCAATTACAAAACCACGGACCGCTGAAAAATCGAGTTGGTCGTGGTCGTGTGCGCGCAATGCAACGTCGAGATCGACTCCTGGACTACCCGTATGTTCTGGTGACTGAACATGTGACTCATCCATCGGGGTCCATGAATTACTTTCTTTCGTGAGTGTGATCAGTGCCGCTATTTTGGGTGATACTGCGGGATTCGTTGTCTCTTCGCGCAAACTTTTGCCTGACACAGTAGACTTTTCTCCTTGAAAATTCATGTTCTCTAGCGCTGAGAGCCTTTCTTCAAGCTGTGCGATGTATTTGAAGCTGGGCAACGTTTAATAGATACAACCTCCATGGAGTAGAGTAACAGACTAACCCAGCTGGTCTGCGAGGCTTCCTCTTCATTGCAATCTGCGTAAAGTGGCACCTTGTGTGGTATTTGGTGCACTGAGCGCACCCTTGAGTGGTAGGTTCACAACGGATCTTCTTCTTGCGGCACATGTCACAAGCCTTATATTGTAATGTTAAGAGAGAGGATATGCTGTTGATTCCTCGGGTAAACTCACGCGAACAGTGGCTCGCTGGCCCCCTCGCCCATGAGTTGGCTGGACCTGAGAACCCATTTGTGAATCCATGACCTGGTGTGCAATTGCCGTTTTCAATAGAGAGGCTGCGAGAAGAATTCTCGAAAGGCTTAGGTCTTAGCGACTTACTTCTCAAAGGCAACTTCGAGAAACCCGGTGGAGCAGAACGTCCTAAGGTAAGAGGGAAAAATGTCATCACGTTCGATGTCATGACCAAACACCAGATTGATTATAAATCAAACTTTTTGAGAATTCTTAGGCTTGGGCACAGCAAGATGAGCCGCTTATTAAGCCTGTACAACGGATTACTGGGCATTTATGCAGAGTTATCAGCCTAACGCGAACACCCCAAATATAATGAGGTACAGACTGCCAATCACGTCCACACCTCACATTGGTCGAACCATCCAAGTTGGGAACTGGGCTGCTAATCACATTCGAGCGATGGATGTTTCGGATGCTTCTATGAATTGCGGGACAGCCGCTTAACGCCAATGGCCTCATGTCGCCTGGGACTAACTTCATGGCACACGCACATTCTTGTTGATCAGTCTGCTTCGATACCACCCGATGTGCCGTCGGCCCAATATCGTTTGAGGGAGATCAGAAAGGCACCCAAGCATTTGGTGACAGCGCTCAACAGCTCCTTGAACCCTCCGAGACGCTAATTTAAAATTGAAGAACTGTCGGCCACACAAAACGACTATGATGAAAAGCTTCTCTGTGATAGTTCCGGGGTGGGAATATGCTTTTACGAATTGGCGCTCTACAAACATTGAAGGAGAAGTCTCTGAGCTTTCCGCCCTTTTGGGCTGAACCTGATGATCAAATAGCAACCGTGGGTCTTCGACTCGATGTGCGACCCAGGTAGAGGCATATAGTAACTCTTGTCGATTTCTTATCTAAGCTTAAAAGCTAGGTTGTTCAAGCTTGTTCTATAAACCTCGCATGCATCTAGATTAGTAGTGGGCACTTGTCGGCTCGTGTGATTGCTTCAAGCTTTCCGCCCAAGTTTCTCGCCAAAGTTTCTGCTGACCAAAGTAAAAGGCGACTAGTGCGTCGTCATAAAAATTAATAAGTTCGCTTCGCCTCTCGTCGTTCCTATGCTCATGATGGAGGATCTCTTCGATAGCTAAACGTGTAAAACAGGGTCAGGCCTTCCAAGGGCAGAAACGAAAGGAGGCAACGGAAGCACTGGGGCGACTGATCCAGGCTATAAGCCCAGTTTGAGCACGGGAGTTCCGCACAATGGAGCAGAGACGGACCATACAGGCCTGCTTTCCGATTGGATGATTCCTGGTATAACACATGAACCTCGGAATGATGAGAATAGCCACCTTTCCTTTCGCCAAGCCCATTTGTGGGTTCTTTGGACGAATTTATGGATTCTTGCACTGAGTTTCTTACTTTGCCCGAACCATCTACAGATTGGATAGACAACTTGGATGGCTTTGCACCAACACCCAGTCTTTCTTGCGAGCCTTCTGATCCCGACCCAGAAGTGCTTAACAAAAGATTGACATCACTTACAGGAGAAGCAGCATAGTCGTGGAACATCCAATTCGTTCTTCATACGGACAGGCCTGCCGGTGGCGGCATCAGCGGGACAAATGAGCATAAGGTAGATAATGTCCAATCGCAAACAGACAACGAGGAGGATGATATCATTGTGGGACACTCTCTTGAGCCAGTCTTCTTTCCTGGGAAATCTCAAACCCCGCACTCGCTGCCCGCGGTGCCCGAGGGCGTGGATGTCACTATGCAGCAGCGAAAGATGCCATCAGCACTTGTTCTGAAAGAAAAACAGACGTTCACTGTTGATTGGATTAATTCATCATTCAGGATATTCCCACGCAGTTTTCAGGTACATTTGTCATCGAGCCACTGTAGCAAAAACATATTTCTTCCCCCCCAGGCTAAGTATGCATAGTTCGTGGATATGTATAACGGCCTCTAGTTGTGTATTCACTTGGCAACGCCGTTAGAATATTCTCTGGCTTCTTATCAAGGTACCCTGACGAACATACTTACTTTTGAGTGGGACACAGCCCCCCGCCCTAGCAGGAGCCGATTGTCGAGTCCGATGCATTTGCTAATACCAGATGACGCGGTGGTTAACCGGGTTCAACTCTCAAACCGTGGTATTTTAGTTCTAAATCCGTTCAAGTTATGTTACGTATAATACTATGCATGACCTCGTTTCCACTTCCAAGTACATCGCGCTATTGTATACGTAGGGCACTCGGGCGGCCAGGTGGATATACTCCTAGACAAGATGCATTAGCATGCGGCGCAGAGGCTCTTCATAGCGTTACATCGCTCCTGACGGATATGCACCAAGGACCGTGCCGACGATGATTTTGCCATCGTTCATCCGCAGAAAGCCGATGAATGCAATCAGCCTCGGCAACCCTAATTGGAGACGACTATGCATAATGGATATCAGAGCCTAGTGCTACATAGGGAAAGAGAGAGGACTATAATGACTTTGAATTCAATTAGCCTAAATGATTTGAGGAAAGCGTGGGCTTCTCTCCACTGAGAGGGTTTTTTGAGTGCATGAATCCGAGACGTACGCCGCAATACGATCCTGCGCCAAGGGCCGCGCCCACGATGGCTCAACGTTTGTCTTTCTCTGCCAAGAGACGATGAACGCAATCAGCCTTAGTAACCCGGGCAAAGGAACCCATTGCAACATCGTGCTTATGGTATTGTAACATTGTTTACAGTATTGCAACATTGTGCTTATGGTATTGCAACATCATGCCTCATCCTACGCGTTCAAAGAAGGCTGGTACACACATCTACTCTCGCTTTCAACCCCTAAAGCCTCGGAAACAATGAATTACACGAGGATCTAACAAAGTAGAGTAGTGGGAGACTAGACTGAATGGGAAGACGAGACGCGGTGACGAGATGTCAAGAACTCTGTGATAAAAGTCTTCCTGAAATGTATAAAAGGCTCGATCCTATCTCTCTCTGGAAGCTTTTGAACCCATTCCCATTCACCTCAATATCTTTAGCCTCCCAGCAAAGAAACCAGTCTTCCATCAAGCAACCTGCACAGTTTCACTCTGGAGATCGTTTCTCCGTCTATACCAAGCAAAATGAAGTTCTTCGCCGCCATCAGCCTCGTCTCGGGCCTCTTCGCTACCGCCGCCTCGGCCATTGACCTGCACCTCGAGTTTGCGGGCGGTTGCAGCACCAGCGGCGGCGGGTACATCTGCCGAGGCTGGAACCCCAACACTTGCTGCAGCGTCAATGCGGGTACCTATTTCGCCAGCGGCTCGTTCCGGGCCATCCCGCGCAACTGGAACATCCAGGCGCGTGGCCACGCCGGTCCTAATTGCGGCTCCATCCGCGAGCAGCAGGACAGCGCCGGCCGCGACTATGTCTGCCTAGGAAATGGGCCCTTTGGCGGGCTGGGCTACGGTTTCAATAACAGAAAGATGATCCGCGGTGCGACCCTAGACGCTCGCAATGGCGAGGAGACTGAGGGTTGCGCCCAGCCCAACGTCCTGTACCTCGCCGACGGCACCCAGTACAACTACACCGCCATTGTCGAGACTGGCCAGGCCACCGAGGAGCTTGTTTCGCTTGTCGAGGCCGGCGCATCGGCCGACGACATCCCTAGCTTTGAAACCTTTAAGCTCGACGAAAAGCTCGTCCTGTAAACGACAGGCGTCACTTAAGGACGCGGCCCGCCATCATTCCGTATTCAAGCCTTATGGAGAGTGATCGAGCTGTTGTTCAGGTTGTGATGCGGCCTAGTGCTTAGGATTCAGCCGCTTCATACATCTCTTGTCCTGTAATCTGACCATTTCTGTTACGGGGTAGCACTTCTCTCCTTCTTCATGTGCTCAGCTCGTCCGAGCATATCGATACACTCTTTTTGAAAATTGCGGTAGATTTACCTTCGGTACCTAAGTGATTTAGTCAAAGACAAAACCTTCATTACTGCGAGCCATGTACTCATCGGCCATTGCGCCCTATGATTACTTTCTCCGGTCTCGTTGTCGGGCCAAGTGTAACTGCCGTATCTATAAGACGTCCCATGTGCTTATCCCATTAAGTGCTACTAAACTATATCATAAGTCAACCTCACTCGCTGTCATACCCAGGCTATGTGATGGTAAGAGCCTACTAGGAAGAGCAAAATGAAACAGGGATAACATCCGTGGCTCAGTACTCCGTAAATTCAGAATAATTAGAGGGACGTGGTTTCATAAGGGGCTTAACGAATGAGAGTTTCTAGTTACTTAACCGCTTGTTCCCTATTGGTTTATCAAGAGAGTATCAGCGCTTACAACCCGCATTGGGCGGAATAGCTTTTCTTGGCGCAAGTTCTCATTTGCTGAGAATACGAGAACCTGACACATACGTACATCTAGCCAAACCAGGGAGCAGGACACATGCTGCTGCGGATAGAATCAGGATTTCAACATCCTATAACCCGCGAAGATGGGCGGCCCAACCAGCCCACCCACTCGCCTTAGTCTCGCAACCTAAGGGCCCCGGGTGATCTGACTGTGCCCAAACGATAGAGAGGCGGCTACTCGGGTCCGTCCACTCCTTAGCGAGGTAATCTCGCGGCTTATGCCCTCTACTTAACTGATTCGAACGTTATAGTTCTTTTATTCGGGACCCGAACATTATGCTTGGCCTATAGATTCGGATCCGAAGAGAGAGGCCCGCGTGTCCTCTACTTGGCAACGCTTACAAAGAAGACGACTGTCTATAAGGCATATTGAACGGACGATACTACAGATTACGTATTAAAAAGCTTATAGCTGACTCTGGAAAGCCTATGACAATGGTGATAATAGAGATCGTAGGTTTAAGGCCAGGCGAAGTTGATGCTGACGCAATCCTATTCCAAAGGACTTGGGCTTTAATTATGCCATTGGCTAAACTATGACTGCAATTTTGCTATTTCCCGTTATAGTCCTATTCCCATATAGGCCAGCGACCTTGAGCGGAGGTTGATGAGCAGACAAGGGCATACTACGTGATTCCGACCCAAGAGCGCGTTTCGGAATTCAATTCCTCTATTCTAAGGAAACATTGGGGCCCAAGAGGGGCATTCATAAGAGCGTCGATGGACGAGGACCAAAAAGTTGCTCTATGCTCCTCCCGATATTGGAGCCTCTACATGAGGAATGAATTTGCCGATAGTTCAAAAACCCTCTTCGTTCTCCTTGCCACGCATTCCTATAGGAGATCTCGCGCTGTAGAATTATATAGATGATGTACTGGGCTGTCTCATTTGAAGAGAGGAGCGATATAGCATAGGTGGGATATGCCACCAGAAGATACTAGCGGCTTCTTTGATCTGGACCTTTTTGCAAGGGCTCTTAAAGCATAGCATTTTAACCCCGCTGTCGTTCCCTTATAAGAACACGGTGAGCTTCTCGCCCGTAATCTATTCAGGCTCCATTCGATTGGAGATTCTTAATCCAATACTATGTTATCGCACAGCATCTTACCTACAGGTCATGAATCATCCATAATCCAAAGGAGGTCGGTCGGTTAGCACGAGAACATCAGACGTAGACCACCCCTCAATATTGCTACCGGAAATGGCCGACCTTTTGCCTAATAATCCATCATACGAGGTAAGACCCATTTTTATCTAGACACACTATTCACTATTTGCCGGCTCCTCCTTATAGGCCTTTCCTTGATATAGCTTCAAACGCAAAGCGCCTGCCAGTATAGTTCAAAAGAACAAGATAACTCGGTAGACAAGATAAGTAAGTATTTAAACTAGTATCCTCAACTTTAGGCCCATGATCTAGGAACTTATAGATGAAGCGCTTGTTATATCGAGGGAAACGCTACTAAGGTCTTATTATTCAAAAGAGCGATAGTAAATAAGTATAAACGTAGTATTTTTTTTATTCAATCACATTTACAACTAAACAATTACCTCTGGTATACTTAAATTGAAACGTATTAATTAAAAAGCTTTAAAGTAGATATTTTATTTTGATTCAAAAGTTCTTTGTTCTCATTTTTAAACTTTAGCATCCATAGTTACAAACTCCTTGAACTTCCTTTCTTACATAGCAATAAGCTAGCAGGCTATCATTGAAACACTGTCATGCCTTTATCAATACCCGCTCTTAGTACACTACTACTAACTGAGGCGTTTAATCTTGTCCTCAAGCTGACTGGAATAAAGACCCAACAGTAGCTGTCTCTATCTCGGGAAACCTCTGGTTGAGTGGGTTATCAGGCTTGAGATTGCACTTGCCCGATTCCCATATAATGCCAAGGAAAGCCAGAAGCCCTTGTAGTTGGTCTTTAGGGAAATGAGGGTAGTAAGCCTTGTGTGCCGGAAGTTCACAGACTTCCCCGGCTTGCAAATTCCCCATCGAGTCGTGCGTAACGCTGAACTTGGCTCCCTTGGTCTTTTCTGCCAAAGCCACGACCTCGGTCAGAGTCAACCTATCCCCAATGACATACATCTCCTTTTCCCAGTGATCCAGACCCAGAGCTTTGACGACAAACTTTGCAATGTCGAAGCTGTACGCCAAAACAACAGGAACTGACCCAGAGCCTGGAACGGTAGCCTTGTTGTGCATCATGTCGACCAAAACCACTAGAGGCGTCATATGCGACTTTCCGCGAGGCATAACGAAGTAGTCGGAGAGAAATCCATTGAGGAAGCAGGTCCATTCGAGCGAGGAACCCTCGAGAGCTTGCATGGTAAGTACTTTGCCTTCTGCAGCTAGGAATACCTTCGACTCCCTGAACAGAACAAGTCAGCGAGGTTTCATCTTGGGTCAAGTATCCGTACTCTGGAGTATAAGTAATCCCCCACACATTTGCGATATATCGCCTCGTCACGACCGACTTGCTTGCGGCTTGAATGAGATTAAGCTCAGACTCTATGCCAAGAGACGAAGTGAGCGTTGAGATAACGGTGCTAATTGAAAAAGTCTCCAGTATACTACGGAGCTAGTTAATATCCGAGTAGTCGACGGAGATGATACGGGCTCCAATTTCAGCTTCTTTCTCGGGGTTGGCCTGCGGTAGATAGCATAAATATCCTCGAGATACAGATACAGATGCAGGGGACGGAAAGATTACTCACTGTTCTGGCGAGAATCACTACGTTGTGAATTCCGTCACGGACAATGGTCTCCACGATAGTGCGGCCCATAGCGCCTGTCCCTCCGGAACCAGGCAGTCTGTTCATGGTCCCCGAAGTTGCTGACGGTACGACGCTCATGGTCGGCACCCAGTTTCCATACCCAGAGCAAGGCCGCGAAGGTTGGCAAACGTTTGCTGCCAAACCAGAGTCATTAGCTGCACTGCTCCACAATGACTACGATCAATGGCACAACACGGCAAGACAGATCCTCGATCAGCTATGCAGCGTTCCAAATCGACTTCTGAGTTGGTCGTTTGACGAAATACCAAACTTGCCTACTTGGTCGTCATTGTCCGGAAATGTCATCATCATCGGGGATGCCGCTCACGCTTTGCCAGCATCCTCCGGGCAAGGTGTCAATCAGGCCTTGGAAGATGCTTATTCTCTGTCGAGGCTTATCGCTCTAGATTGGACAAGGGAAAATTGGCCACTCAGCCTTGAGACATGGCAATCTTGGCGACAGACAAAAATTGACCGCGTACTTCTAGACAGATATCGACCGCGTCAGCTGATATGGGTTCGACACTGCTAGGTCCGACGCGGTGGCTATTTGACTTGGACATAGAGAGCTTAGACGCAAGATTGGCAGCAATCTAGGATTAAGATCTTTTTTGTCGATTCAAGAAATCGATTCTACGGGAAGATTTCCAGGCACCTTTCGAAGAACAAGGCTTCATGTGTCAAAGTTGCTCCCGTTATTATCCTAGAACTTAACCATCTGGACTCAAAGATTATAGACTTGAAGCAAGAATGCAGTAGGGGCTTCGATCTTTCCATCTTCCAGCCCCCGAGGCATATCTCTGTAGCGACGTGCGTACGATGCAGAATCTTGCTTACTCTGTCTAAGGTCTTTGTGGGATACGCGTGCAGGGTTAGAAAGGGTTATGACTTTAAGCAGTCCCGTATCTCCTTGGCCACGAGACAGCTAACTTGCAACTTGATGCGGTCCAGTACGACTGTACAATCCTCGATTACCTACGGAGGTACCCTTACATAACATAAAGCACGAAGTAAGATTGCGAAAACTTCATTGCATAGACATCATAAGTTCTTGGAATAACTACCGTCATAGTAATAGAATACTAAGTCTTTCAGAGCATGTCCACTCAGTCCCGCCTCCGTGTTACCGAGTTAACCTTAGTGAACATACTGAATCTATCCATGCCGTGTTTAGTCTTTTTCACCTTCCTCTTTTCTATCCTTTCTCGTTTATCTGATTGGCCAACCCCTATGTTGCTGACAGCGGCACAGCGAAACGTAGGTACTTGGCAAATGTGACCATGCCGACCAACATGCATGAACAATCTTATGAAAGAGGGGTAGGCCGTCGAACAGTCGAGAGTCATAAAAGACTCCTTACCGCGCCTGGTAAGTAGACCGATACAGCATCCTTTTCCTCGGAAATTCGTCCTCTCTAACGAGAAAAGCACAACGCTTTGACCTTAGCCTGTATCTGGACATCGGCAAACGGCCCAGCATGTCATCAGCACCTGTAGCGCCCACCGCAATGAGCTCGCAGTTTCCCAATGAGTCGCCAATCATTGTTGATGAACAGGTAAGCATCAAGGAACCGGTCATGTGGACTTTGGAGTTGATGAGCTATGATCTCTCCAGCTTGATGAAGACGCAAAATCAGATGTCACCAGCGTTAGTCTCAGCTTTTTGCGTCTCGTGGATGTCTTTCTAAAGATACATTGATGTTTGTAGACCATAGCATCCTCAACGACTAGCCTTGCAGACTCAATGTTCAATTTTCGTGTGGAGAATGGGCGCACATATCATCGATATAAAGATGGAAGTAAGTTCCTTCTGATATTCTGTTCACGCCGCAAATTACCTTGTCTACTGATATGAAGCATCTCTGATCTGTAAAGAATACTCCTATCCCAATGATGAGAGGGAAAGTGACAGACTGGGTAGGTCAGCTTTATGAGCTCCAGCTTCCTGGAGCCCAATGTCGCTCACGAATCCTGCAGACCTTCAACATCAGCAATTCCTCCATTCTGTCGATGGAAAACTTGGCCTCTCACCGCCGAACCAAGATGACTACCCCGCCAAGCGTGTTCTCGATATTGGTACTGGAACCGGGATTTGGGCAATTGAGTTCGGTGAGCTCAAGCCCGAAGCAGAGGTAGTGTACATCACTTCAAGTCAATGAATCCATCCACTGATGATGATACTAGGTCATTGGCATTGACTTGTCTCTCCCTTTGGCCGAGTAAAACTCTCCATTCAAACACTATGACCTATGATTCCATAAACTAGTCGAGAGTGCCGCCTAACGTAACATTTGAGGTGGATGACATCGAAGAACCGTGGACGTTCTCCTTGCCATTTGACTACATTCACAGTCGAATGATGACGTCTAGCAAATCTGATTGGAGACGACTCATTCAAAATGCTTTCGAGTTCGTATCTTAGTTTACCTGTTCGCCTCAGAACCCCTTTTACAGACTCTGACCAAAACCAAAGTAATCTCACGCCCGGTGGTTACCTCGAGCTCCAGGAGATGGATCTCATGCCTCAATCCGATGACGGTAGTCTGAAACCCGACGCTGCGGTTGTGCGGTGTTTTGCCCTCCTTGGTAAGGCGGCTACGGTACTTAACCGATCCTTTCAAGACATCCCGGATCTCGTCAACGTGATGCAAAAAATAGGTTTCGTCGACGTCTCAATCAAGAAGGTGATGTGGCCAGTAAATACGTGGCCCAAAGGGCAACACTATAAACTACTAGGGCAATGTGCCCACGAAAATTGTATGTCCGAGATTGAGGATTGGACTATGGCACCTTTGACACACGGCCTTGGCTGGGGTAAACAAGAAGTGGAGGTCTTTTTGATTGAGCTGCGAAAAGAATCTAAGGACCGACGCATTCATGCATACTGGCCTTGGCAAGTCACCTACATTACCTTACCCAATAAGGTAGGAACATATCACACTGCTGACTGGATCACCGTATAGTTATGCACTATATGGAAGAAAACCTAAAGCCAGGTGATAGATCATGCTTACGTAGCTTGCGCGAAGTCTCGATGAAACGAACTGGACCAGGCCACCTGCTTCTTAGGGTTAGTATTTCACCTGGCATGTTAATCTATCGTAAGATGGCCACATTCTTGTTCACTTTATGGGATATAGGAGTCTTTTGAAAATTAAACGAATAAATATCAACCTGCTTGCCTATGCCCCAGTCTGAGAAGTAGGACTCCCAGACCTATCGGTCGTCACAGATTGTGTACTGCCTTTGGAGGAACTTCCTCTATTCCACATTTCGAATTCCCTCGCTATGTCGTCCAGCCCTGTATCAACTGGAGACAGTGACAATTCCGTTGATGGGTCATCTGAGATCTTGCTGAACTTATCTCTTCTATAAGTCGGTTGGTATTCCTCGGAGGGTGTTGCATCCGTTGTTTTCTTTGGCTTTCTGCTAACCAAAAATCGTAGTAGTGGCCGAAGTGCAGGAAGGCTTGCACACAGAATAGCACACGAGACTTCAACTAAAGACCAATTGATGACGTCCACATTGTCCCAGGTAACATCAGATGTGAACGAAAGATGAACCAGAAATTTCAATCTGACCATACTAGTGACACATCCACTGAAGTACCGTCGAAATGGTCAGCGAGTTCTTTCCGTAAAGGAGCTGGCTACTTACAATGACCCTAGCCCAAATATGAGACTGAGCCAGAGTTTCTTCTTGGTACTGAGCTGAAGTCGAAGAAGCTCTGGAATGGGAAGAATAAGGATAGCAATGTCCTCAATGACGCTGAATACTGCACCAGAGTAGCCAATTGCTACAATATTCATGCATTTTCTAGATGGATCGTCGAGATTCCAGGTTGAGGTGACTGGCGTGCATTCGAAAATGACAAGAAAGAGGAATATCGCCGCGTGCAGAATCAAGAACAGAATAAAGAGTTGGGTTGTAAGATAGAACCATCGAGAAGAGAAGAAGATGCGCGAGAAGAAAAGCAGAAGTGAAATCTTAGCCATAATCTGGGCCAAGATATAAAGTTGTTCGCCAATATAGAACATCTGAATGAGTCTTGTGCTTGCCCAAGGTTCGACATGCCAGTAGTGCAAGCCAAACCCTAGGCCGGTTCCCGCAATTTGGATGCCTGTTATTGCGGCGAGAAGGACCTGGTATTGGTTTGTTAGTATGCGATTCCCATACGTCGCTCAATCTTCATTCTTTATATTGCATACCGTTGCTGCAATGATCATCCAATCATCCCACCAAAGTCGGTGGTCAACCAGGTATCGTGAAATGCATCGAAGTCCGACAACAGTGAAGGCAATGATAGATAATGATATTGCCACTGCTCTTGCTTCTTCTCTTCTTGACGGCTTCGGGAAAGTCGCACAGAGGTCTGTCTCAACTTGAGCAGCACCTATTGAGACATAAATCATCATCGATTCCATTCAAGGGTGGCGTCGCGCATGTTCTTACGCTTTTGGTCCTCGAAAGAACATTTCAGACGAACACATGACGACAGGTCTGCCTGGAGTTCGATGTCTATACACAGACAATTGGCGATAGTAGAGACAGAGTCCAGCTTACAGCCCCCATGTTGGAGACCAGTAAGAAGGCAAGGAAGCTGCAAAGACGAATAGCATGTCAGTTTTGAAGTCCCGCAACTCTATCGTGCCCCGCCATTTGAGCTACAAATACGAATTGAGACCAAGTTATGTGTACTCACCGCGCATGATGGAATCTGTGATACAAGGCTGGTGAGGGTGGTTTCCGCACCCCGTACGGACGAGAAGTATGGCGATAGCAAGAGCACAAGAAGGTAATGCTTCATCTGCCTCATGTTCGCCGAACCATTCCACGTGGAATGGAGAACGTTGCCAAACGTGGACCTGAAAAGTAAACGCAGATGGAGGAGAAAGGGCACAACGTGCCCACTCCCCAAGTGAAGAGGGCTTTTTTCTGTACATAAACAGTGGATGAAAATTGGGAGGATGCACTAACAACGGGTTATGGCGTATGGCGTCCCTCTGAAACGCCGTGCCGGTTGCTAGTGTCCAAGCATCTCTGCACTATCGAGTACTAAACTTGCGCCGTAAGACACCAGCTCTTGATGCCACTGCCAATTCCGTGTGATCTACCACCTCAGGAGAGGAAAAGGGGTTAATCATGCCGTGTGCCAGAGGATATTGTCGCGTTAAACACGTTGCCGGTGCCAATGCAATCTACGGCAATTATGCCAAACGCGTCGCTTGCGCGCCTCTGTCGCCGTCTATATCCGGTTAGAGAGGACAGTCAAATTAGGCCGCCTTGGATATACCTACCTTCTGCAGGTAGAAGAGACCTGGGCTTTGAATAAAGGTCAGGGTCACATTGAGAGTCCAAATCAATATGGTGCCTTTGTCTGTTCAGCTTGGCTTAAGAATTTGGGCAAGGAGAAGTAATCATCGACACTATCCTAAATAGCCTACCAAGTTTACGTCGCAAATTCTGGGGGGCTTGCAGCGAAATAATCATACCCTCTTCTTTCGATCGTGACGCCCTTTTCATCATCTCATTCTTCTCATTTAGTTCTCCCTCTGTGATAGTTCCTAGCCCAGGACACCAAGTCTTGCTTTAGTCTCTAAGAAAAACAACCACAATGCTCCTCTTGATGGCACTTGGAAATATGTAAAGTAGCGCAGGGCTATATTCTAGCTGATTTCATGTGTCTCTATCACTAATTGGCTCGAGAGGAAGAGGCAGGCCCTACTAAGAAAAGGTTCGCATATGTGGACCGAGTGGTAAAGACTAAACTCTAGGTTTCCCTTGCTCTTCAACAGCGACTTTCATCGCTAACTCTTGAACATCGCCGCACAAGAAGGCAAATGCTTTCGAGTAGGTAATCAGTGATATTCAAAGAGTCGTAGGCCATTTACGTTCCCCGAAAAGCTGGAAGATCCTGACTGGTATCATCCCAGTACTTGCTTTCGTTCGTGAATGTGATGAATGTCCTCTCGAACTATCTTCATCACCTTTGTACAAAACAAGTGAAAGCTTCTTTTCGTAATTACCATGAATGATTGATGATTGTATCAGATTTAATTATCTAATAAAGTTATTCCCCGTCCCTGATTCCAAGTTTAAGCCGGTAAAGTGATAAACCCTTTAGACATAACATCTTGGATTCCTTTGAGCCAGACATTTGCCATTTTGACATATCCTCCGTCATTAGGATGCCTCGTGTCGGCAAGATCGTCGAGGGTCGGAGCGTCTGCGCTGCGCATATCAACCATCGCGAACTTGGCGCCGGATTGCTGAAACTGTGTTGCCAAGGCTGCGTACTGTTCGTTGATTTTGACGCGACATGCATCTTGTTCGGGAACTTTGTTGGCAAGAATTGATGTAAGAATCACAGTAGCTCCTGGACTCTGTTGATAGATTTTGTTGATCATGGCTGTGACATTCGCTCCTGCATCTGGTACCTCTCCACCTTTGTTGCAATTGTTGGTGCCAGCGTCAACTAACACGAGGTTTGGTTTGAGCATAGGTACAGCCTTGTCGGCAGAAGCGGCTATCTGGTCAATTTTGAAGCCACCCGTTGCCTCGACGGCATTGTCGGGGAAGTTTCCATTGGCTCTTGTGCCCACGTACGTAGCATTCATGCCTTTAGAGACAAGTAAGTCCTGCAGGTCTTTCCGATAGCTGTTTCCAGTTGAAGACCCGGTACCGAAGGTTACGGAGGCGCCCAGCGCCATTATACGTAGTGGTACGGTCGGCCCAGGCTCTTGTCGTGGAGTATTTGGAGCCGCCATCGCGCCCACGACGCATATTATAACAAGTAAAGGGCAGCGCATCTCGAATTAGTTGGGATATGTGGACACCGCGCTTAAGCAAATGAGATCGGGAGCTAAAGGCGACAATATTTGAGTTTAGATGCCAGGGACGTGTCTCTTATACCTAAAAGTTCTTTGAGTGAAAACTCAGGGTTCGGACGCTCTTGCGCCTAAAAGTATCATTCGAGCTGATGTCTGATACTCGCACGGAACCGGAAGCCGTTTCACTCCCGGCTGGCCTGCAACACAGACTTTCCGGCTGCAGCCTGCATCCCTACATCTCTTACCATTCTCCGTGTTTATGAATTCATTTCAACATTAAAACAACATGCATCGCCTCGTTATTTACTAGCGGTAATAGCACTCATGAGTGACTCGTGGTCTTGATGCCTAAGACTTCCTATATGGCCAGCTTGATGCCTCGGCGACGAGATG